AGCATATGTTAAAAGCCTAAAACTATTTGTTATTTCTTCACTGGTCCTGAGAACAGATGGATTTCCTTAGGACCTGTGAACTAAGGTAGGGCAAATCTAGCTGCCTATATCATAACTCTGGGCAAGTCATCTCATTCAATGTCTTTATCTAAAAGGCATCAACTTTAGGGTCTTTAGCATCTTCTTCTCTAGCCAGAAACTCCACAACTACTTACATTCTTTTTTTTTGGTCTATCATGAGGCTTGAACTCTAGGTATTATCCTTGAACTCTTCAGCTAAAGGTGAGTGCTCTATCACCTAAGCCACAGTGCCACTTCCAGTTTTCTGGTGGTTAATTGGAGATAAGAGTCTCATGGATTTTCCTGCCCAGGCTGGCTTTGAACTGTGATCCTCAGATCTCAGCCTCCTGAGTAGCTAGGATTACAAGTGTGAGCCACCAGCGCCCAGCTACTTACAGTCTTGATAAAGTCACTATAATTTACTTCCTTGAATCACATCTGAAAACTCTTGTGCCATCTGAATATTTCCTTAATAAAGTAGACTAATAGATACGGCGCCAGTGGCTCAAGCCTGTAATCCTAGATATTGAGGATGCTGGGACTTACAGGCTTGTGGTTCAATGCCAGTCCAGGCAGAAAAATCTGTGAGACATCATCTGCAATTAACCAACAAAATGCTACATGGGAAGCATGGCTAAAATGGTAGTGAACCAGCCATGAGAAAGTAAGCCAAACAAGCTTAAAGCCCTGAGTTCAAGCTTTATGCCCAGTTGCCAGAAAAAAAAGTAGAAAATATAAAGATGGATTTGATATTTTCTGAGTGCTACCAAACTCAGGTGAATATCTCTCATTTGTAAGACTTCTGACTACTAAATTTGCTTAGGCTTCATTTGGAGTTTAGATATTTCTCTTTCAGAATGGGTTCATGTACAATATGCTGAATACAAACAAAAGAATGAATTCTATTCTAAGGTTCTCAAACTATCACCCAGCTCACCTTCTGAACTCTAAAGACAAAAATCCAAAGTAAGAACCCAACTATGCTAAGCTTACCAAGTCTCCAACTTTTAAAATGGCCCCTTCCAGGTGTCAAGGACTCAGATCTGTAATCCTAGCTACTTAGGAGGCTGAGATTTAAAGATCCAAGTTCAAGGCCAGCCAAGACAGGAAAGTCTGTGAGATCCCTGTCTCCATTAGCCAGCAAAAAGCCAGAAGTGGAGGTATTGATCAAGTGGTAGAGCACCAGCCCTGAACAAAAAAGTTAAGGGTCAGCATGTGGGCCCTGAGTTCAAGCTCCACCATTGGAACCCACACACACCCCTACACATTATTGGCACACCCACACCCTACCTCCCCGCCCCCCACATACACACAAGTTCCTTAGAGCAGACCTAGATGGCAGCTGAAGTCACCCAAGTGACACCTGAGACCATGTATTTCTTTGTCATTAAATGACCCCTGATTCATTTGTTATGAAATGATTATTTTACTTTTTTCCTTAGACGTTGTGCCTATAGAAAGGTACAGCATCAAATTCTTTATTAGATGCAGGAAAAACAATAGTCAAAAACTCCTGAGCAAAGCCGGGCGCTGGTGGCTCACGCCTGTAATCCTAGCTACTCAGGAGACTGAGAACTGAGGATCGCAGTTCAAAGCCAGCCCAGGCAGGAAAGACCGTGAGAGTCCTATCTCCAATAAACCACCAGAAAACCGGAAGTGGCGCTGTAGCTCAAGTGGTAGAGCGCTAGCCTTGAGCTGAAGAGCTGAGGGACAGCACTCAGGCCCAGAGTTCAAGCCCCACAACCGACAAAAAAAAAAAAAAAACTTCTGAGGAGCCTCAGCCATCTTGATAGACCCAGCATAGTTAAATCTACCCAGAGAAATCATGGAAGTTTGTTCTTTGCCCTCTGAGAGGTTACCCAGTGACCAAGACTACATGCTTGGAAAAAAATAATTAAATAAATAAATAAACAAATATATATATATATATAGTATGTCCATAGGAAATATTGAGAGAGCAAACTCTGACAGAGCAAACAATGGTAGAGGTTGTTAGGTCTGTGCTGACTGCAAATTCATTTTCTAAAAAGGAAACATAAAATGATTTACTAGAGGCTTGACAGAGTATGGTATTGTGCCAAATGTCAGGTTAGAAAAAGTGAAAACAGACCAGATCAAAGAGGGCTCCATTCATGGGTAGAGGTTTTGCAGAGAAGGCTTTTGCTTTTACTCCAAGTGGCTCTGACCTCATTTTGAGGTACTGATTACAGGCCAACCCATCTGTACAATTGTATACACAAAGATCTGGTACGAAATACAAAACCAACAAACCTTCAGGTTAAAAAAAGTCCATCTGAATGGAGAATTGTGATCACTAGAGGCCAGGAAGAGGGTGGGGGCTGCATCTCCAGCACCAAATGTACTGAGATGAAAAGCCTCAGATCTGGGGCTCCACAGCATATTGGATAGCCTCAGCTCACAATAACGTATCCGATATTTTATGAAGATCTTCATAAAAGGAGCTCAAGGACTCCAAATATAAAAGTATGATAAGGGCAAGCAAATGCTGGTTACTCTGATTTGATAAGTGCACACTGTGTACATGTATATAAACATCACGCTGTACCCTGTTAATACATACAAGCTAATAAAGGTGCCAGATGCTGGTGACACATGCTTATAAGTCTAGCTATTCAGGAGGATTAGATCTGAGGATCATGGTTCAAGGTGAGCCCAAGCAGAAAAGTCCAAGAGGCTCTATTTCCAACTAACCAGCAATATGCTGGATGAAAGCTGTGGATCAAGTGGCAGAGCACCTACTATGAGCAGAAAAAACCAAATGAGAGTTTAGAGCCCTGAATTCAAGCCAGCCCTAAATAAATAAAAATGTCAAGAAAGAACAAAAAAGGGGGTAAGGAAGCAAATAAAACCCACCTCAGGTTAAGAGGAAAGAGTAGTGGGGAGAAGAAAATAGTTCTCTAAAGCATCTGAAACAAGATGACTCAACTTTGAGGGCAATGGAATATTCTAGAAACATTTCCTGCCTTGCCCACTCCTTGTCACCACTAACTCAGTAACCTTACTCTTGGAAAACAAAGCAGAATACTATAATGGTTACCCAGGTGGCTGAAAGGCTACGTCATTTCCTCAGACCATAGATAGCTGCTCCTCCTTTCTCATGCCTGCCATGCGTGAGGGCTACATCAGTACCACAACTGAAAGCAGAAGAAAGGGTTAGATATGGAGGTGTAGAGGCTATAGGCAAATAAAAACCTGAGAGGGGAAGTAGAGCTATGGCTCAAGTAGTAGAGCAACAAAGCTAAGCAAGAGGCAAGGCTATAAGTCTGAAACCTAGTACTAGTGTGTGCCCATGCACGTTTGCAACACACACACACACACACACACACACACACACACACACACACACGAAGAAAAAGGGGAAGCTAGGAGGGCTGCACTGTTTTAAAAGTCCCCATATCTGGCCAGGCACCAGTGGCTTATGCCTATAATTCTAACTACTCAGGAGGCTAAGATCTGAGGATCGTGGTTTGAAACCAGCATAGGCAGAAAAGTCAGTAAGACTCTTATCTACAATCAACCACTCAGAAAAATCCAGAAGTGGCACTGTGGCTCAAGTGGTAGAGTCCTAGCCTTGAGCACAAAGAGGCTCAGGGACAGTGTCCAGGCCCTGAGTTTAAGCCCCAAGACCAGAAAAAAAAAAAGCCCCAAAACCAACAAGGGAATTTTGGCATTTTTCATAGTCCTTAAAAATGTTTCCCTTGTCCTCAGAAAGCTAAATATTGACCTCCCTTATGACCCAGCCATACCACTTCTAGGCATCTATCCTGAACAACAGGAACAGTATACAAGGACACAGGCACCTCCATGTTTACTGCAGCACTGTTCACAATAGCCAGGATATGGAAACAACCCAGATGTCCCACCACAGATGAATGGATCCAAAAATTGTGGTATCTATACACAATGGAATCTTATACAGCCATTAGAAAGGACAAAATAATGGCATTTGCAGGGAAATGGATGGAACAAGAAGAAATCATGTTGAGCAAGGTAAGCCAAGAGCAAAGAGACAAATGGCACATGGTCTCCCTGATAAATGGATGTTAAATCCACTTATAAGGTGATACAACAAAATTAACAAGGTTTAAGAAACAAAGGACTTCCACTGATCTGGTCGAATCACTACTAAATAACCCCATACTGCTGATAACATATTTAGTACATATGTGTACACAGGAGGGAAACTAGGAGGAGGACACAGAACTAGAGGGAATCAGGGAAAAACATACAACAGTGGGACCCATCAGCTGCACTGGACATTGATCAAAATGAACTAAGCAACTCAATGGCAGCGATGGGAGGGAGGGAACAGCTGATGCTATGCAAAACAAAAGAAATGTACATGTCACCCAATGTGGAAGAAATAACTGTTATCATCAAAGCTCATAGAACTCATAAATGTTATTGACCATGATAGACAATTTGCCCCATGAAAGGTAGAATGTGTTTGTGACTTTAACTAAGCATCACTATCTCACAATACTGTGAAATTTGGGAAACTATGTAATAACTTAATCACAATAAAGAATTTGAAAAAGAAATGTTTCCCTTGGGTTAGGAGTATAGCTCAGTGGCTCTGGGTTTGAGAGCTAGTACTATAAAAACAATCTCTCCTCATCCCACCCTCCTGCCCGAAACACCTTTCCACTCACTGGTGGGCGCACTGGTGTGGCTCTTCAGGAGAGCTGTACTGGATACCATTAGGGCCAGACTCCACATGCTCTGTTACCACAGACACAGTGGAGCCCAGGTCATCTTGAAGGAAGTCCACAACACCAACAGACAGCTTTTCATCTACACACTCTAGGGAGCAGGATGCCTAACAGCAAACAAGGCTAGTGTTTTACTTAGAAGGCTTTTGCTTTGGGGCAGTATTAGCATAATAACATGTAAAACAGAAAGGAAGCAAGAATGCATACCTGAAGGATGATATGATTGATGTCCCTTCATCATCAGGATAAAACTGTGTAATGGAATGATGTGCCCCAAGTAGTTCCTTCCCGTCTTTCCACCAAAAAATACCAGTAGGTTCCAGGTATATACTAGGTATATTGATTGAGCAATTAAACTTGACATCTTTATGCTCAGAAAGTATTATGTGTCCAACTGTGTGATTAAATGCAAGAGGTGGGAGAAGCTTTGAGACAGCTGAGGGAACCTGGGGAAGAACTTTGGGTCCTGGATGTGGTCTTTGTGTCTGGATTGATGACATCAAGGCAGGCTGGTCTCCACTGGAGAGAGGAAAGGGGAGTGGCCTGTGGTTGACTGGCAGGCTCCCTGAGAAAGGTCCTGGGGATGGTTGGTCCAACTTGGTTTCTCCTTCCACTTCAACAATAACTGCAAAACAGAACATCTGAGTTTAGTCCTCATATCATGAAGAAGAGTTTCTACTTCTTAGGCCAGGTGAGTTTCTACTTCTTAGGCATCCTTAGTGCTCTCAGAAAAGATGAATAGAATCTGCTTATTATGCACATTGGTCATATAGTCTCATTACCAAACTTTTAGTTTACTTGTCTCCTTCTGAAGAGTTCTCAGGCAATAAGTCAGGCATGCGGCTCATGTCTGTAATCCAGCCTTCAGGAGGATGAAGCAAGAAGACCTCAGGTTTATGGGTAGCCTGGACTACAAAGTGAGACGCCTCAAAAAAAAATTTTGGCAGAAAAATGGAGAGAGGGGGGGAACAAATACAGTCATAATACTCAATATACATATGTAAAAATGTAACTAGGTAACTTGAGGGACAGATGATGGGGTTGGGACACATGGTAGAGAACAATGGGAGAGATGACAACCTAGTCATAAGCTAATATGTTGAATTTAAAGTCCTTTATACAATTATTTGGAAATATTTTTTGACCTTCATATAAGCAAAATCTTTTTTTAACTTTTATTTATTTTTTATTGTGAAAATACTGTACAGAGGGGTTACAATTAGATGGGTAAAATAATGAGTACATTTCTTATCAAACATTGTAGCCTCTTCCTTTGTTTCCCCTTCCCATCCCTTCCCAGCCTCCTCCTGCTCTTCCCTCCAATCCTCCCCCCCCCCCACCACCAAAGTTGTAAAGTTCATTTTTGACATGACAACTTGTACTTCTCATTGTTGCAACGGGTCCACCTGTATCCTTATTTAAACGACTTGTTTTTCCCCTTCCCCTCCACAAATTATACTGACATCAAATACAGAGAAAGCAGGGGTTATACTGTGGGGGAGGGACATACAAAGCAACAAAGAAATAATATTATAAATGCATTAGAAACAAATGCATGAAAGAAAAAAAACATTTGAATACATATCTTAGGGTTCATTTTCCTAGCATCACCTTATCTGACCTTTTCTGCTTGACTCATACATATACTAGATATTGCAAATAAGGGAAACCATGGACCTATGTTTCTTTGGGCTTGGCTTACTTCACTTAATATAATTTTTTTCCAAGTCTTTCCATTTCCTAACAAATATTTTTTTTTGTTTTTTTTTGTTTTTTTGGGTCTAGTTATGGGGCCTGAACTCTGGGCCTGGGCGCTGTCCCTCAGCTCTTCAGCTCAAGGCTAGCGCTCTACCACTTGAGCCAAAGCGCCACTTCCGGCTTTTTCTTTTTGCTTATGTGGTGCTGAGGAATCGAACCCAGGGCCTCAGGCATGCAAGGCAAGTGCTCTACCACTGAGCCACCTTCCCAGCCCTAACAAATATTTTTTAAACACTATAAAAGAATCAAAATCTACACAGTGAGACCAAAGGAGGATACTCATAGGGGAGGAACACAAAAGCTCAATGTACATGTGCCTCCAATCACATAAAATAATATTCATCAAAATGAATTTCAGGAAATGGAAACAAGAGGGTTTTTTTTTCTTTGTTCTTTTCTTTTCTTTTCTTTTTGTCTTGTGTGTTTGTTCATCTGTCTTTGGGAAGGCAAAGAGGGGCACAGAAATGAAAGGACAAAGAGAGAACAAACGTAGCAGTGGTACTCACTGGACACTATGTTGAAAATGAACTATAAAACTTGTGAATGAGATGCCAGGCACCAGTGGCTCACCCCTATAATCCTAGCTAGAAGGCTGAGATCTGAGGATTGAAGTTTAAAGCCAGCCTGGCAGGAAAGTCCATGAGACTCATCTCCAATTAACTACTAGAAAACTGGAAGTGGCACTGTGGCTCAAGTGGTAGAGCGCTAGCCTTGAACTGAAGAGCTAAGGGACAGCTCCTAGGCCCAGAGTTCAAGACCAACAACTGACCAAAAAACAAATAAACAAACTTGTGGATGGGGATGGGAGGAAAAAACTGGGAGAGACCAGGGAAGGGGTTGATGGTCATTACCTGTACTCATTACCTGACATATGTAAATGTAACCCCTCTGTACATCACCTTTATAATAACAACAAAAAAGAATTAAAAACTCAAAATTTTAAACATTTAATTATAAGAGAAAAGGAATTTTAAAGAAATAAAATTTCGGAGCTGGGAAAGTGGCTCTAGTGGTAGAGTGCTTGTCTTGCATGCATGAGGCCCTGGGTTTGATTCCTCAGCACCACATACGCAGAAAAAGCTGGAAGTGGCGCTGTGGCCCAAGTGGTAGAGCACTATCCTTGAAAAAAAAAGAAATAAAATTTCTCCTACATAGAAAAAATTGTTTTTCTTTAATGGTAACTCATTTCAAGTCCTTCATACCCAACTCTACAGGAAGGTGATGGTACAGAAGGGCTTTCCACCAAAAAATACCAGTGGGTTTCAGGTACATACTAGGTATATGGAGTTAGCAATATTTATGCTCAAAAGCATTATGTGACCAACTGTGTGATTAAATGCAAGAGGTGGGAAATGATCACTTACTGCACATACTACGGCATGAATTTAGTCAATAGTTTTCAAAAAGTTGCTACAGTTCAAAAAAGGAAATGAATGTAGCTTATGTTACCAGACTTGGAGCATTCAGTAAATGCCTGCCTTCTGGAATGAACTGCAGAATATTTCTTATTTCATCTGGCCCATGAGTCTTTCTAAAAATAGAGGCTCGCATCAGTTGTATTTTCAGCCTTTTTAAACACCATTATGGAGCATACATTCTATGCTGGTTGTTAGTTATTCAAACAGGTTGTCAGTGAGCCGATAATGGGAGAGAGACACAGGCCTGGCACTTTATGCTATGGATTAGTACAGAGGGACCCCCAGCCCTACTCAGTATGTCACACTCTGCTAGGCTTGTGAGTGTGAGTGTGTTTGTATGTGCAGAGGACAGCATAGCTCCTGCTTAGAGCTAAGCAAAGGTTAGTAAATAAGAACCCAGAATGTCCAATTAACTTGAATTTCAGGAAAATAACAAATTTTTGATATAATAAAGGACTTAAGTGGCCATTGAGATATAGAGATCAAAGAGAAAAAGAAAGGGGATCTGGGAAATTTGTCTTAATTTGTCATTCTAGATAGCATATTTATTTTTAATTATTTTTATTTTAAAGATACTGTACAGAGGGGTTACAGTTACATAAGTAATGAGTACATTTCCTATCAAGCATTGTTACCCTCTCCTTTGTTTTCCTCCTACCATCCCTTCCCTCCCCATCTCTCCAACTTCTCCCTCCCCTCCACCAAGTTATAAAGTTTGTTTTAAACATAGTGTCTTGTACATCTCATTGTTACAATGGGTCAAGCTATATCTTTGTTTCAGCATTTTGTTATTTCCCTTCCCCTCCCCAAATTAGAAAGAATGTATATACAAGATTCAGGGCACCTGAATCAAATACAGTGAAAACAGGGGTTATACCCTGGGGAAAGAACATACAAAAGAAACCAAAAAAATCACATAGTACATTAAAAACAACAGCAACAAAGATAAAACCTCTTGTGTCCCTATCTTGGTGTTCATTTCACTTCCCATTATCTTTTTTTGTGTGTGGGTGTGGGTGTGGGGCTTGAACTCTGGGCCTGGGCACTGTCCCTGCTCTCTTCAGCTCAAGGCGAGTGCTCTACCGCTTGAGCCACAGCGCCACTTCTGGTTTTCTAGTGGTTTATTGGAGATAAGAGTCTCACGGACTTTCCTGCCTAGGCTGGCTTTGAACCGTGCTGCTCAGATCTCAGCCTCCTGAGTAGCTAGGATTACATGCTTGAGCCACCGGCACCCAGTCACATCATCTTATATGATCATATGTACATAGCTTTTGACCTTTTCTGCTTGTCTGGTAAGATTATCCTAGACATATACTAGTTATTGCAAATAAGGGAAACCATGGGACCTATGTTTCTTTGGGTCTGGCTTACTTCACTTAATATAATTTTTTCCAAGTCTTTCCATTTTATAACAAATGGAGGTGGTGCCATTCTTTCTGATAGAGGCATTCATATCTATATCTATCTATCTATCTATCTATCTATCTATCTATCTATATCACATTTTCTTGATCCATTCATCTACTGAGGAGCATCTGGGTTGGTCCATATGTTAGCTATGGTGAATAATGCTGTGATAAACATAGTTGTGTTGGTAGCTTTAGTACAGCAAAAACAATCCTTAGCAGAAAGAACAGTGCTGGAGGAGTATCAATACCAAATTTCAAACTCTACTACAAAGCCATAGTAATCAAAAGAGCTTGGTACTGGCACAAAAACAGACCTGAGGACCAATGGAATAGAACTGAAGACCCAGAATTGAACCCACAGACCTATAGCCACCTAATCTTCAATAAGGGAGCTAAAAAATAGAATGGAAGAAAGATAGACTCTTCAGTAAACAGGTGCTGGCAAAACTGGTTAGACAGCTGTAGAAAACTAAAGCTAGATCCTTATATATCACCCTGCACCAGAATCAACTCCAAATGGATCAAACACCTTGAAGTAAAAGCAGAAACCCTGAAAACATTACAGGAAGGAATAGGAGAAATTCTAGGGCTTCCTGGCACAGGCCAAAATTTTCTTAATAAAGACCCAGAAACACAACAAATCAAAGAAAGGTTGGACAAATGGGATTGCGTGAAACTGCCGAGCTTCTGCAAGGCAAAGGACATAGCTACCAAGATCAATAGAAAGCCCACAGATTGGGAGAAGATCTTCACTAGCCATACAACAGACAAGGACCTCATATCTAAATATACTTAAAACTCAAAAAATTAAATCTCCTAACAACAAATCCTCAAAGAAACAACTGCCCGATTAATAAGTGAGCTAGAGACTTAAAGAGAGACTTCTTTGAAGAGGAAATAAGAATGGCCAATAAGCCGGGCGCCGGTGGCTCACGCCTGTAATCCTAGCTACTCAGGAGGCTGAGATCTGAGGATCGCGGTTCAAAGCCAGCCCGGGCAGGAGAGACCGTGAGACTCCTATCTCCAATAAACCACTAGAA